AAAAAAAAAAAAAAAAAAAAAAAACTCCGTTCAGGACTCCAATAAACACATGCTGAAAGATAATGATTCTGATGAATCCAATATGGTTTGAAACGCTGGATCCAGTGAAGAAAACTTCACGTTCCTGAGCTCATGTTAAGACGGATGCCCTGTTAAAGAACATGTGTGTGTGTGTTACTGTATACAGCCACATATCATGAGCCGGAGGTGTCAGATGTAAGATGTCACGCCGCAGACTCAGAGCCCAATTACAGGGAGGATTAGGATGGGGCTCAGTGACCCTCGCAGGAATTCACAGGGATACTCTGTGTTCACTGTCAAACTCTGGGTCGCATCCTGCCTTTAAGTACTTTCACCTGCTAATTAAGCCGTCCAAACTCCAGTCATGGGGAAACGTGTGCGGCCAGACGATCTTCCAGAGAAAAATAGTCGGTTCACAACTCAAGATGTACTAATGTAAATATTTGAGCTGGCTTGTATACTGGAGCGAGCTCGACTACGCGTGGCAGAGGGACCGGACCGATTCTGGTGCCATTAGCAAGTTTAAGCCATTTGCTTTGCTTAAACTCCAGCTGAAGTGCTTGAAGACACGAGGCCGCACGACCGTGGGTCTCTGGACAGGAGGAGTTTCATCACAGTTTCATCTCAGATGGTTCTCCTAGAATACATTTGTGCTGTTGTTTTACACTCTTAAATATAAAGGTGCTTCACCATGCCATAGAAGAACCTTTTTGTCTAAATGGTTCCATAAAGAACCTTTAACATCTGAAGAACCTTTCTGTTTCACAAAAGGTTCTTTGTGGCAAAAGAAGGTTCTTCAGATTATAAAAAGGTAAGAAAGAGATGGTTCTTTAAAGAACCTCTGACTGAATGGTTCGTTGTGGAACCAATGGCATCGCTTGAAGAACCTTTTGAAGCACCTTTATTTTTAAGAGTGTAGGTCTTTAAATCTCAATCTTGCAATCATGACACATATTAGTGTTTCTTGTAACTGTGGCTTTATATCTGTCTATAACTCTTTATTTTTCTCACCATACCAAATCTATTTCTCACAATGTGACTTATCTCACAATTACAATTTTTTACCTCACAATTTAACTTTATATCTCGCAATGTGACCTTAAATCTTGCAAAGTGACTTAATCGCGACTTCATGTGAGAAATAATCGCGATTACGGCTTTAAACCTCACAATTTGACTAAATCTCTCAAAACTACTTTGTTTCTTGTAACTGTGGCTTTATATTTCTTTATGGCTCTGCATCTTTTTGTATTTATCACATTCCCAACATCTATATCTCACAATAGCCGCGTTTCCATCCAAAGTTGCGAATTTGACTTGTGCGCAAAATTGGAATAGCCTATCACATGAAACATTTGCGAACAAGCACTGTTTCCATCCAACGAGTCAGAGAGAACAAAATCGTCACTTCCTGATAAGCTGGCACTAAATATCACTAAGAAAAGTAAGAGAAGCCACTGAATATAATAATTCTCAAATATAATAAATTACTTGTGCTTTAAGTGAGCAGACGAAACACAATAAATGCGGTCTTGCTTTCGGAGGTGAATGTCAGCTGTTTGGGAACGCAGTTGTGGTAGACCGTTCTGGGAGGCAGTTATACAGAAGTACTTTGATGACAGAATTTGCTCCGGCACTTCAGAGTGATCATGACAACATTTCAGATGCTGTACAATTAAATCGGTCCGCTGGTTAGTCAGGTTATGCTGTCCCATAGCGCAAAGTCACATGACTTTTTTTAATGCTAATGCGGGATTTATTCGCAAAATGCATTTTCATCTCCCATTATTCGCATTAACCCTTTTTCGCACAAGTCAAAAACCACCTCAAGCGAGTGTAAAAACTGTTTTGCGAATTAAGGGATTTATTTTCTAAATTTGGCGTTTCCATCCGCATGTGTAGTTCATTGCAATTTTGAATTTTCAAAAGCTACCCTTTAAGTGTTTTTTTTTTTCCATTTCCATTACTGTAACCCAGTAGCATTTACATTCATATTTAAATGTTTTCACATATCAATTGTATAAATATGGCAATTTTATCTCTATAGAACATCCGAAGAAAAGACAATAGAGTTTTACCTATCATTTACTATAACAGCCAGGTAATTTTTTTGGCTAAACACCACCACAGCACACTTTGGGCAGGTTATCAAAAGCTCTTACTATGTGTATGTTAATAAAAACATCTATTGTCACCCAAAAACATTAACAGCCTTTAGTTGCCTGTGAGCTTTAACAAGTTAAACGTGTCTGTAATCCTCTTTAAAAGCCCAGTGACAACATTTCAGATCTTGACCTCAGATGCAGGACTATAGAAAGCATTTAAAAGGGTTATGCAATCTTATTTACATGAAGTTACATTACTCGTTTCTCATGCGATACTTCAAAATGCGCATTAAAATAGGGTGATGGAAACATAGCTAATGTGTCTTTATATCTTACAATTACAACTTTTTTTTTTTTGCAATTGTAAAGAATTCTTGCAATAGGGACTTTATGCCTCAAATTTTGACTATACAATGTGACCTTAACTCTCACAAAGCGGATTTTTCTTTTAATTGCGACCTTATTTCTCACAATTGAGGTCTACTGGGATCCATTAAAACTTTGTTTCTTGTGATTGAGACTTTATTTTTCTCTATATCTTTTTATTTTCGTAGTTGTGAAGAATTTTCACAATAGTGATTTTATACAAATTTGTCTTTATATCTCACAAAGTGAGGTTCTTTTAATTGAAAGTCACAATGTGACGTTAAATCTTGCGGTGACTTACTTGTAACTGCAATTTTGTCTTGCAATTACAATGCTGTTTCATGTAATTGTGGCTTCATATCTCTCCATAACTTTATGCAACTTTATGCAAATGTGAATAATTTTCTTTTATACCTTACAATTTCACTTTTTATCTCACAAAATGACTTTATAACTCGCAAAGCAACTTTCTTTTAAATATGACTTTATTTCTCACAATTGCAACTTTATTTTCGCAAATGTCAAGAATTCTCGCAATAGTGATTTTATACCATCCAATTATGACTTTAAACCTCTCAATGTGACTTCTCAAAGTAACTTTTTTTCTTGTTGCAGCTTTATATTTTAAAATGTAACTTTATATCTTGCAATTACGACTGTTTCTTACGACAGATCTCTCTTTCTGTCAGGACCACTATCGTCAAAGATGATTGACAATTAGCATACAGTTTGGATTGGTGGTTCTGGGTAAGAACTCCATGAAGCCTAGCATGGATGAGAGCAGGGAGAGCAGCAATAACCCCCCAGGGTAAACAGAACCGAACTAACATAAATGTATTGCAGATATCTTAAAGTTCAATAATGTTATGTACATATTTTAGAATTAGTCTGATTCAAAGGATAATCAGAAGGCTGAATCCTGACTGGCAGAGGAGGAGCTGGGGATGGAGAAGGGTAATTAGCTATTGAGCAATGTGAAAACTGCTGATAATACTGAGGGACCTTATATATGAATGCTTAGATAGGTGTCGTATTCCTATAGGAAGATGGGTATCAGCTGAGAGTCAGCTGATGCGAGCTTGACTAACGTGACCTGCCAGAACTAACGCTACGCTAGATATACCTCTATATCTGACCTCTGTTTGTATTTCTCACAATTCCAACACTATATCTCACAATGTGACTTTTTTTGCAGTGGTGAAATACTGCATACTCGCAATAGTAATTTTATATCTCGCAATGTGACTATAAATCTCACAAAGCAACTTTCTTTTAATTGACTTCATATTTCACAATTGTGACAGAGCAAATTTGTTTATAGTAATTGTGACTCTGTTTCTCTTTATATTTCTCACAATGTGACATTAAATCATGCAAACGTGACTTTATGTGAGAAACTCTCTAAAGAGATCTAATTGAGTTTGTGATGTTGTGGCGACACGCGGTCATCAGTCAGATTAGCAGTAGATGAATGCATTACACAGTAAGTAAGGGGAACGAATGGGCACTGCCAGGAAAGCCCTGCGGCTCAACATCTATTTTTAATTCCATATTTGTACACTTTTGATTAAATTGATTTGAAAGGCCTGCTCAAACCCCACAACGGCACATCACACGATCTAGATGTCCCTACAGCTAACTGCACGAAAGCCTGTCCAAGAGCAGAGCTTCAGTGCCAGCACTAGTTTAATGCAGGCCGGAGACACAGCGAAGCCCTGACCAATGTTTTGACAGCCTGTAGGAGCCGGAGGAAGGGCTGCTTGTTTTCCGAGTGGAGAATCCAACACTAAAGATAAGATAACGTGTATCGACTGAGTGATTGGCAACACATTACCACACTTAACAAATCATATTGGAATCAAGTTATTAAAGTCTCCCACACTTCAAATGAGGATCATTCTGCTACTAATTACGACCACATGTTAATTTGAGATTGCTCAGGGTTTGTTTGTGCATATGTGTGTGTGTGTGTGTGTGTGTGTGTGTGAGTGTGAGAGCTGAAGGAGGTGGGACTCAGTCGAGCCTCCTCAGCTTTAAGACCCTCCCAGCAGCGCTGCATATCAGTTTCTCTCTCATGGAGCAGAGAATCAGTTCTGCATGGGACCAAAGTGCTTGAGCACGTGAATGCATGCGGATAGTGTGTGCTATGAGAGGCTGAAGCGACGCACTTGATGCTTTGACACTGGAACACAATGACTCTACTGGGATCTGAACATTCCATTCTGATTCGCAGCAAGTTTAAATCAGGTGAGATCTTTGTTTCACCTCCAAAAGAAATGCTTTTAGGAAACTTATTAGGAAGCGTTGATTATTTACTAATGCATGATGAGTTCTTACAATTCACAAAATGTTTGTAAGTATGTTACATACACTTTACTCTGAATATGAAGCTATTTTTGTTTTGTACTTGTTGGTCGTTTCATACACTTTTAGCCTCACTGCTTCCAAAAGCCTCAAGTGATTTGATACAGGGGTCAAAGGTCATCAGGCACCACTTAACCTGTGCAAAAACATGATTTTCTTAGTATTTTCGTCTTGTTGTCCAGTACAATTATCTAAACATTCTTAGATACATTTATTTGATGATGTTAAGATATTAACAAATTCATCAAAATTAAATGAGTTTATGCCTAAAATAAGAAAAAAAAAAAAAGTCAGTGGGATCAGAAAAATGTTCTTGTTTTTTAAAAAAAATGTCTTGTTCCAAGCATAAATTCACTTCATTTTGAAATTTGTCAGTCATTTTTGATTTTCAAGTAAATATATCTTCATTTTAAGAATGTTTAGATATTTGTACTGGAAAACAATACAAAAAAAATCATTCAGTGTAAACATAAACTCTTACATCTGGCTTTTTAATTACTTCACACTTGTATTGTTTACTACTATCCACTCTTTGTGTTTCTTTCGAACTCTTTCTCTCTGTCTCTGTTCATCTACTGAAGACGTTCAGTGTAACATGTACATGTACTGTGAACAATGCTGCCACCTTTCTGATGAAAGTGTTACTGAATAACCACAATGTCAGAGTCTCTGAAGATCTTCTTTGCTTCTGTCGGCCAACCATCAAGATTTATGGCCCAGCAGACAAACTCTAGCTTAGCTTTCCTCTCGAACGCTGCGTTGGATTTCACAGCAGCGCTCGGGTTTGGCACAATAATGGCTTACTGCTCAAAATTACAGACAAAATTGAGCTCTTCCTTCAACGAAGGGAAATGAGCTCTATGCTCAAGGGAAGTGGAGATGTAAGGCTGTTCCACACAGTGGCATGATGGGAAAACTTAAACATTGGCGTGTTGTGAACAGCACACATTAGTGCTCTGATGCAGCACAGATGTGAGGTTTGTGGCTGTCTGTGTTGGCTGTTCAGCGAGCGAGTGTGTGTGTGTGTGTGTGATTGAGCTGTTCTGATAGGAATCATACCGTATGTTCCCTGTGGACGTGTTTGGCTCATTGAGGTTCTTCAACAGGACATGGGCGGCCATGAGATTACATAACCCTTTTAAATGCTTTCTATACTCGTGCATCTGAGGTCAAGATCTGAAATGTTGTCACTGGGCTTTTAAAGAGGATTACAGACACGTTTAACTTGTTAAAGCTCACAGGCAACTAAAGGCTGTTAATGTTTTTGGGTGACAATAGATGTTTTTATTAACATACACATAGTAAGAGCTTTTGATAACCTGCCCAAAGTGTGCTGTGGTGGTGTTTAGTCAAAAAAAATTACCTGGCTGTTATAGTAAATGATAGGTAAAACTCTATTGTCTTTTCTTCGGATGTTCTATAGAGATAAAATTGCCATATTTATACAATTGATATGTGAAAACATTTAAATATGAATGTAAATGCTACTGGGTTACAGTAATGTAAATGAAAAAAAAAATTTAAAGTTGCTTTTGAAAATTCAAAATTGCAATGCACTACACATGCGGATGGAAAATTGCAAATAATTAAGAAATCTGGGCAATAATTGGTTGATTTCCTCATGCTAGAAAGGGTCTGAACAATTACTTTGATCAATGCTGCCATTTCAAGGTGTTTAGTCAAAAATGTATGTAAAAGCCGTTATTATAGTCTTTCTATAGAGATATGTCAGATTTAAATCATCTTTATGTGAAAAATCTGATCTAAATGATAGAAATGCATTTAAAAGTTACATATGAGTTGCACAGTGCATTCATATGACAAAAACTGCAAATAAACCTGTACATTAATGGGTTAATTTCCTCAAATTAAAAAGGGACTGAACAATGACTTTGATAAATAGTTTGACGAGCCATTGGCATGAAAACAGAACATACCAGGCAGAAGTTAAAGAGCCATCGCTGGTTCCTGTTTGCTCTGTGTTTGTGCATGCATGAAAACAGAAAAACGTTTGTCCTCGAATCTCCCAAAATCATTCCTCACTTACAGAAAATTAACATCATGACCTTCAGAGTTTCCGGTTTCCCTGATGAACACACAACTATTTAGTGTTTACACTCTTAAAAATGGGGGTTTGCCATAGAAGAACCATTTTTGTTCCAAAAAGAACCTTTCAGTGAACTGTTCTTAAAGGAAGAACCATTTTTGTTTCTAAAGAACAATTTCCACTAAAAAGAACGTTTTATAGAATGGAAAGGTTCCACACTCTTAAAAATAAAGGTTCCTAAAGAGGTCAGTTCTTAATAGAACCATTTTTTTTCCTAGTGTGAAAATATTTAAATCTAAATAACTTTCTTCCACTATAAAGAACCTTTACTGGCTCCATGGATGTTAAAGGTTCTTCAAGGAACCACAGATGCCAATGAAGAAACTTTATTTTTAGTGTATGTAAAGTGCTTGATGTCTGAACTCTAAGTTCTGCTTGAGACGCGTCACCATGTGCCTCAGAGTCTGTCTGAATGTGCATGTGTCACGGCTGCCTGTGTCATGTCAAGATTACAGCCTTGCTATTTACAGGCAATGCAGTTAACGTCAAAGTTCAGGGCATTTGTCATGCAGCTCATGACATTTGAGTTTAATAGACTTACACAATCCAAACAAGACAAAGTGTGTACGCTAATTTGTACTGGAGATTAAATGGGGATATTCTAACATAGCATGTGTATTGTGCAATTGCATTATTAATACGTAATTGTTGTCATTAGGGCAAATTATACAGGGTACAAGTTGTTTTTGCAGGTATGTGCCTTGAAGACAACGGCTGCAGCTATTTTTGTGCTATTGAGTCAGATCATCTGGTTTTGATTGTGGAGGGTTATGTGATCCAGTTTGTCTGCAAAGCTGTGATAATTCTTATTGAGGGCAATCACTGAGGGCAATCATGGGTCTGGTGCTTTCGTTTGCCCTGCTAAAATGTGTCACGTTGCCAGAAGGCATTTTTCCACTTTGGGCTTTTATGAACTCACCTGTTTCTGGAGAGCAAACGTGAGGTCCAGTGACGGTTCTTATAGCGAACAAACAGCATTCAAATTTTGATCTAGATTGGTCCAGATTGAGGTTCCTTCCATCCGCCAAAAGCAGACTGGCACTGCTTGTCTCAGTTCATATCAGTGATCATGCGAGAGCTGGCAGTATTATTTGTGCGTGCGAGGTTGTGTCGGTGTGCCAGAGCTCGACATCATTAGATTTCTCTTGTTTGTCCACATACTTGCGGTGCATGACAGTTGCTGGCGCTGGACACAGAAGCGCAGGTTGTGTGACCTAAACAAAAGCAGATGTATGCAGATAGCTGATGCATGATCTCAGTGCTTCGAACCCGCAGCCATCAGTCAGTCAATGATGCAGCTAGTTGATTGATTGCGATGATAAATGGAAGAACGAGTGGACGATCAAATTAACTTTGACAAGTACAAGAACTGTTGCATGTCCACACGTTAACCAGTGTTCGTGTTGCGGGAAATGTGTTTCAACAATATCTCGCAAGCAAGAATGCTATTTTTCTGTAATTGTGAGTGATATTGCTGTTATACAGTTCAGTAAACATCACTGAGTAACTTACATTTTTAGACACAATATTCCCATTTACTTTTATGTTTATTTTTCCTCCGCCAATGAAAATAGTTCCAGATGAGGCGAAAATACAATCAACACACACAATCATTGAATGAATTGCTTGAGTGAGTGATTCAATGACTCTCTCATAAAGACAGTTACTTGTTTTGTTCCGGAATAATTGAGTGTTTTGAACAAATCGCTTTAGTGAATGACTCATTAATTCACTCATAAAGATGATTACTTGTTTCTTAATTAATCAGTGCTTTAGAATTGAATGATTCAATGACTTACTCATAAAGAAACTTAAGGCCTGTTCACATCAAGGACGATAACGATATAGCTCTAAAAATTGTTCTCAATATTAAAGAATAGCTGAGTCCACACCACAGCTGTAATGATAAAGGTACAAAGTAACAACATCGTTGGAATCAGTGTTTTGAACAAATCGCTTGAGTGAATAATTCAATGATTGCTTATAAAGACAATCACTTGTTTCGTTCCTGAATGAACCAATGTTTTGGATGATTCCCTTGAATGAATGATTCAATGACTCACTCATAAAGACAGTTATGCCTTGTCCAAATACCCACATTTGCAGTCTTTGCACTTGACCAGTTGACTACTTATATGACGTATTTCCTGTATTTGGCCCAAGTGTTCAAGTGAGGATGAAGACCACAAGTGTGTGTCAAACTTTTCATTACCTGATGGGACCAGCCCGATCTCACGGCAATTTGTATATATTTTACGAGGTGGTTAATTCGTATGAATTCGTACGACCTCACTCGTACAAATTCATGCGATTTGTGCTAAACCGTACATATTTTACGAGTTACACAATTCATATGAATTCGTACAAATGACCTACACCTAACCCCGCCCCTAAACCTACCCGTGACTGGGGTCTAGAAAAATCGTACAAAATCGTACGAGTGAGGTCGTACGAATTTGTACGAATTAGCCACCTCGTAAAATACGTATGAATTGGACGTGAGATAGTGTTGGATGGGACACACTAATAGTGTTGTAAAAATGCAAGTGTTTACAGAGATTTATTTTATTTCATGACACAATTTAATTTGTGGTGCTTAAGTGATAAAAAGAAGTTGCAATCGTTGTACAAAATAAATATCACCACCACTCATCTAAAACGTGCAACACTTTGTTTTTCCGCGAATAACGCTCTAGAGTGTGGATTTTGTGTGCGTTAAGGGCACTGCGCTTTGGCATTTTTAAGACCTGAGTGAGTGAGTGAGTGAGTGAGTGAGTGAGTGAGTGAGTGAGTGAGTGAGTGATTCAACAACTCTTTCCTAAATGCAATTATTTGTTTTGTTCCTGAATGAATCAATGTTTTGAACAAATCAGTTCGTAGAAAGAGTGACTGAAACATTCTCAACACTAATGCTTCTACTAACATCTGTCTGGAACGCGCAAACACATTCAGAGTGATACAAACAACCGAATGTCCCATTGCTGTTGAACTAAATGTCTGGTAAAACGTAATTTATAAAGACGCAAAGACATTTTTTTTTTCACTTATTCTTCTTAGTCTAACATACAGTAGATTATACACAGACGTAATACATGGACACTCGTGCAGTGACAGGGTAGATTGCTGTGATGAGAGACACACCACCCAAAACAAAGACAAAAATGAAGCAACAGACCCACAAATATTTCTTAAGACAGGATGTAGGTCTATGATAAACACAGCTCCTGGCTTTAAACAAATCTTCCTTCAGTGTGTGGTCCTCCTGAAGTCTGAGAGGAGGGAGGCGCTCATAAACGTAAGAGGTGGCCCGTTAATGTGTGTGTGTGTGTGTGTGTGTGTGTGTGTGTGTGTGCGTGCAGCATCTGCCCGTCCGTACGGGATGATGTGTTCCTTCTCCGGACACAGATTTCTGTCTGATTTGTCCAGCTTCACTCATGATGAGTCATTATCTGTTTCCTCCTCCACCCACAGTCCTGCAGCTGAGACTCCAGCAGAGGAGGACGCGAGAGCAGCTCGCTGACCAGGGCATCATGCCTCGTGAGTAACACCAGCACTCCTCTGACTACATCACACTGCATTATGGGTACCTGACAAATGAGCGAACCGCTTTCATGGCACCGTAAAATCTGCACTACAGTCACACACTCACACCTGTTAACATTTACATAGAAGAGCCCCGTTCATACAGCTGGATCTGGCACACACGCACACCGGGCACAGAACGCTCTCAGAGTTTATCTGCCCATGAGAGGAACGATAATAAACAGATGATCAGGCAAAGCAGCTTCGCTTTATAACCTGAAAATGAGATCAAGGACATTCTGCATGCTTCAGTTTAAAGGTTTTTTTAGTCGTTTTTAAGCGATAACATACAAGTGTGACCGTAGTAAAATGAATAAATAAATAAAAATTAACTTTTTGTATTGATGTTCAGTTCATATGGTTTTCAGCAAATTCTATACCATTTTACATTTTTTCATTCATATTTTTTTAAATACTTGTTTGTTTGGGTTTTATTTATTTATGCATGCATGCATTTATGCTTTTTACAGCCTGAACAACATTTGTTTTACATTAAAAGGTGCTTGACTCCATGACATCATTTCCTGTGTGGTTTTTTTTTGTTTGTTTGTTTGTTTGTTTGTTTTTATGGAAAACTACTTACTTTTTAGGAATTAAATTATTTAATCGTCCTCTTTCATCATCATGATTTCAAAATATCGAAATTAATTTAATTCAGACATCACAGAAGAGCGGCTTCCAGGTCAATTTATGTATGAAGTGCATTTATGAATTATGACCATTGAGCATATATTTTTAAAGCATTGTAAGATGATTCATAGCTAAACACACAAAGATATTAAAGAAAACAGCTTCTAAAATATACCGGTGTACTGGTTTCATAAATATACCAGTATCTCTATTCAAATACAGTCATAACTGTATATTTTGCTTGCCATTAGGTGTTTGAATTGAACTGTTGACCAGTCTGTTGATGTAATTCAGCCGCTGGAGTCTGGATTTCAGCAGGTCTGCTGGAGATAAACCACAGATCTGTGACTGACCGAGTCTGAGCTCCTAAAAAAAACTTTCAATGGCTGTTTATCTTTTTACAGCAGACAACAGGTCGGCAAACTCAGATAAACCGCTTTTAAATAGGTGCTGATCTACATGCATGTGGGAAAGCATAGTTATAGAAAAAGTGTTTTGAAAATGCATGTTTTCTTTGCTTTTTACTGCCTGCTCATGTCATGTTTTATTCCGTGTGACTTATGACAATTGTTCTAGTGTTTGTTTTATTAACGTATGGCAGTATTTCATGAGGAGTACGTCCAGCAGAAAGCAGAAGATCTAATGCTAAGAGCTAGAGCTCTCTCATAAATCAGAATGCACCTTACATTTCAAAGGCTGGAATTATGCAATTGGTTGCATTCTTCGGAGGTGATATTTCAGTCTTCGCTGTGGTTTTGCACATATGCAGTGTGTGTACATTTCTCTGAGCACATCTGCTCTTCATTAGACGGTCAGGCGTGTGTCTGAGGAGCCGCCGCTCCTTTTTCTTCTTTGACTTCTGTAGTAATGTAATGATACTGTATGTGTGTGCAACCTTTTCAAGAACCATTGAAACAAAAAGTAATCGATTTTAGACTGACAGAGACAGAAAGTAAAGCCTGTGAGCTATTAGAGCCAAAAGTGAAAGAAGTCATTTTAAAGACAAAAAAAAATAAATTTGCATTAAATAATATATATTTTAATGCATGTAGATAAAATATTATTCAGTGCATACATGCCATGGTCTGCATTCAACAAATAAATCATGGAATTATTCATATTTTTTGTTTGTTTGTTTGTTTGTTTGTTTAGAACAACTGTGATAGTAAACAGAATTTTCTTTTTCGGGTGAACTATCCCTTTAGGTTACATTTACTTGAGATGCAAAATTGCACAATATATTAAGAATTGTTTTTAGAGAATATGTCAGATTAAATTGAAATAGAATGGATGGTATTTTTCATTTCTTATTGCCTTTAAAAAATACATTTTAAAAACAAAGACACCTAAATCCAATAAAAAATACATTTTGTTAGATTGATGCTTAAAAAATTCCCAAGAGTCTTTAGTTAATTAATTTATTTATATCGAATGAAAATATAATAATTTAATATTAATTAAAATTAAAAAAATAATATTAATATTAAATATTAGATTTATATAAAGATGATAAAGATTTAATATTTAAAAAAAAAATCAAATTTTTTGCAGTGGATGTCTGACACAGAACAGATTAATGTGATGAATAGCATGCAGAAAGAGTGATGGATTGCAAAATGTTTTGTAAAAATGATATTTTGTGTATGTGTCTTGTATACCTTTTTGTGTGCTTTTATTTTGAAATGGCAGAGATGTTCTTGTGTTGTCTGGATCATTTGTAGTCGGTTAATGTTGTAATGTTTAGTTAATGTAAAGTTTCTTTGTCTTTTTCTTGTTCCATGTGATCTAGATTCTAGTATGCAATGAACGGCTGCAGTGAGATCTTGAGACACACCTGAGCAGAACTTCTGTAGAAACCCCTATAAATGTTTCCAATAACATAACAATAAGTCAGCCTTGTGTTGAATATCAATGTCAGACCTCAGATTACCCAACAGCTGTGCTGATCAACAACAAAATAATCATACATTTTTACCTATTTTGAAGCAAACATGAGTGATGCTCATCTGTGTCAAAACTTATAATGCTAGTGTGTTGTGGTGATATTTTGGAATGTTTGTGATTTAGTTTCACTCAGAAAACAACTGCAAGCAGCACTAAAATAAAAGCAGAAACAAGTGCGTCTGTATCAGTCAGACGTTTGATTCAGGACTATAATTCAGCTTTAGCAGAGAAACACGGGCCAGATCAGATGCTGGCAGAGATGATTTATGTAAGATTCATTGACAGTGTGTTCACAGATAAACCATCACATTTACTCCGTTTCTCATTTGTTTTTCCAGCCTTGAAGAGTCCGGCTGCGTTCCACGAACAGAGGAAAAGTCTTGAGCGATCCAAGGTTAGAAGAACCAAACAACGATATAGCAAAGAATCACGCAGCACACACCATCAACAACTCCCGGCCACACCAGAAATCATTTTGACTGAGAAATGATTACAAATAGCATCATTTTCTGACATCAATACTAGTTCATTGTCTAGTAATTACTTGTCTTGCTCAAATCAAGTCATTTATTTGGACTTTATAAACTACAGATCAAAGCAGGATAATATGATAAACAGGAAAATAACAGAAACAATAATGAAATAATGAAACATCATCAAACGAATTTAATTTCAGATGTAAAGCAGCTTTACAGAAGACAATTGAGTTAATATTCAGATCAATTCAGTTCAAATTAACCCTCTGGTGTTGTTTAGTCATTTCTTTTTTTCATTGGAATGGTATGAAACTAAACCAAGATTTTGGCATTTGCTATGTGAACAAAAAAAAATCATTTTCAGGTCTATGCTCAAAAAGTGGCTTACAGTATCATAACTATTCCATAAATATGATTTAGTGCCATTAAATCCCTTAAAAATACAAACAAACAAAAAATACAGTAAATAAAAACATTATCATACTAAAAAATAGTACATTAATTTAATACAAATCTGTCATTTCTGACCGCCACGCAGACAACACCAGAGGGTTAGTGTAAATGATGCAAAGTTCATCAGTTATGAAACTAATTTGATTCAGAATGATTGTGAAAGTGTGTGAAAATCCAACTCATTATATTTAATGTTTTATAATATTTGGCGTTGCAGACTGGAGATTATTTAAAACACAAAATCAGAAGTCGACCAGAGAAATCAGAGCTTGTCAACATGCGTATTCTACAAGGTAAGAGCTTTAAAAAATAGTACACTGAATTAAAAAAATGATGCCGAAACAATTTTGCCTTTTTTAGTTTTCACAAATAATTACAAATAAATAACAAGTAACACACTGAATTGAATAGTATTTTCTTGTAAAACATGCTCCAATAATGTATGTTTCATTTACGGCTTTAAAAAATCTTTTTTACCGTGTACATACACACAGAATGATTCAGATAACATTATAACATTGATTTGATTGCATGCTGTGAGTGTATCATGTTGTCAGCTTCACGGCTTGTGACATGATAACTGCTTATTCTCAGCACTGCATCATTTGTGTGTTTGACTGAAGAGCTGCTGTGCTGGATTAATAGTGTGTTTACTGCAGAACCCGCCGCCGAAGGTCCCGCACACGACTCACAGACCAAACTAAAGCGAGCCAGACTGGCCGACAACCTGAATGAGAGAATCGCTCTCAGACCTGGCCCGCTGGAGCTGGTGGAGAAGAACATCATTCCTGTCCATTCCACTGTTAAAGAAGCAGCTATGAAAGGTATCGGAGCAAAGCACAGCTCATTTATTTACACAGCAAAAAATTAAGTTCTTCCTCCAGTATTTGTGTCTTGTTTTCCAGTACAAATATCTAAACATTCTTAAAGGTAGAAGTCACCCAAAAATTTCAATTCTCTCATTATTTACTCGACAGAATTTTGTGTGTATGTTCCTGTATTAACTTTTTTTTTTCTGTTGCACACAAAAGATGATATTTTGAAGAATGTGGGTAATAAAACTGTTGATGGTAGCCATTGACCTCTGTAGTTTGAAGGGAGGGGGTGGGGGGCGGGAATGGAACCAAGCAGTTGACAGTAGCCATTCACTTCCATAGTATGGAAGAAAAGAAGAAATTATATGGATCCAAACAGTTGATGGTAGCCATTGACTTCCATAGTATGTAAGAAAACAAAATAAATTACATGGAACCAAACAGTCGACGGTAGCCATTCACTTCCATAGTATGGAAGAAAAAAAAAAGATATTATATGGAACCAAACAGTTGACGGTAGCCATTGACCTCCATGGTATGGAAGAAAAAAAGAAATTATATGAAACCAAACAGTCGACGGTAGCCATTGACTTCCATAATATGGAAAAAAAATATGGAACCAAACAGTTGACAGTAGCCATTGACTTCCATAGTATAGAAAAAATATGGAACCAAACAGTTTTTAACTTCCGTAGTATGAAAAAAATATGGAACCAAACAGTTGACGGTAGCCATTGACTTCCATTTAATGCGAAAAAAATATATGAAGGTCAGTGGCTACCATCAACTGTTTGGTTACCCATATTCTTCAAAATATCTTATTTTGTGTTCAACAGAAGAAAGAAACTCATACATGTTTGGAACAACATGAAAGAGAGTAAATAATGACAAAATTTTCATTCTTTGGGTGAAATATGCCTTTAAATCAAGTTACATTTACAGTACGTGTGAAGCAGAATAAGATATGAAGTCTTAATTAAGTACAAATGAAGTGGGTTTTTGCTTAAAAAATCTGTCAGTGGGGTTGGAAAAATAAACTTAATTCTTAAATAATAAAGTTAATATCTAAAAATATAGATATTGAAAATAAGTTTATCTAAAATAAACTTAATATCACAAAAACTATTGTGTGTGTCTGTGTGTGTGTGTGTGTGTGTGTGTGTGTGTTTGTGTGTGTGTGTGTGTGTGTAGTTGCATCACTAACTCCTTAATTTCTATCATGACTTTATGTTGCATCTTTTTTCATCTTCTTTGCATGAGTGAATTCCTCGCTAGTGATGTTGAGCGAGATTCCTCACAATCCTCCCAACCTTTTGCTCAACAAACACAGCTTGATTTAGGAGGCCGTGGGCTCTCGCTCACGGGCATTAACGCGCTCTGTGTTTACTATGTCGTCCGACCGCAGTATGTTGTGCACTCAGATCCAGTGTTTTCGGACATGCTGAAAGTAAACATGTCCATGTTTCCCCTGAAGCTGCGGCTGAATGTGTTGCATAAGCCGTGTGAGGCTGGGGACGATGGTTTATATTACCTCTGCTGGAGGAGCAGCGTGTTTTATTGAGACAAACAGCAGCTGTATTTAGATCCACCCTGTTCGCTGGAGATCAAATGAATGTCCCTCTCATTCTCTGTTTTGACTCGACGTGATTTATGCGGCTCCGTCGAACCACCTACAAAGGTGTTTGAGCAGACACGACCGTCTGAGACGCCCTTCCCAGAATGCTCAGCTCACCATTAGGCCTGCTAGACTTCTGTCATGTCAAATTCAAATATATGATATATGTTGAACAAACACTTCTCTGCAATCTGCTGTGTTGTCACAGTCTCTTCTCAAATGTGCATGAGGTGCATAAGATGCATGCCTTCTGGCATGATGCCACTTTCCATTAGAGTTTTTTTTTTAATAGCTTAGCTTACCCACTTAAAGTTGTAGTTGAGGCTCACTCGGTGAAACTATTCACTCATATATCGACTCTGCAAGCAAATTATCTGCTTTACACTCAGTTTGCAATTGTAAAACAAACTTTTTGCAAAATGTTAAACAGTTCTCTACATTAGGCACATCATTCAAAACAAACAGCTCTTGTGTAGCTCTTGTACTAAAGTAAAAAGTACTGATTGATGAATGTTTATTTATTTTGCAATTTTAAGTACTCTATCCTTCTGCTAAAAAATACATTCACACTGATCACTACTGATAATTACTCATAATTCAAATGAGGGGGGAAAGTGTGTAGGCAAATATAAATATAACTACAATATAAAAACAGAGGTCACATTTGGTAAAATGTGTTAGCATTTTAGGAAAACACTTTTCCATCATTTGAAAGTGCTATGGCAGCAGGGTAGATGCATGGGCATTAATTTGCGATATTTTAACATTAACCCTGCTCAGGTGGTAATACACAAATACGGACATCTATGTTTAAGCATTTCATAAAGTGGGCTTAAACAACCCTTTTACAGCAGCTTTAGTTCACAAACAACGGACTCTCATGACCTAAATATGATATTCATATAAAGTAATAAATGCTAAAATTCAACATTAGTAACTTACTTTTCACACCATCACTCGCGCATGCACTCAAGCTCCGAGGATTTCCCATTCTTGGCACATTTTGAGTCAGACCTGTGAATTCGGTGATTTGTTAACTGGAGACACGCTCAGTAATTTGTTGACTCGAAAACAGCTGCAATTCACTCAATCCAATTTGCGAATGGATCATTCAGTGCGATTTGCAAACCAATTTAACAGGCTCTTTGAAAAGAATCAGCTCCTTCACAAATCGTACATCGCTATCGCTTCTCGTAGTGCGTGACGATTTCTCCAGTTCAAAATAACGAGGAACGACATGTTTTCGAGTAAAAAGTACAAGATTATGATTTGGAATGTAGTAAAATAAGAGTATAAATTTCCCAAAATAAAAATACTCCAGTAAAGTACAGATACTTGAGAACTGTACTTAAGTGCAAGTGCAATCATGACAATTCTCGGAAGATTTTAGCATGGTAATGGTTATTACGATGTCCATGTATTTGGTCTTGGCGGAATAGATCTGCTACGCTGCTGCTGTTGGTTATTGCTGTAGTTGTAGATTATTGCTGCTGCTGAAAGCAAGTACAGGAACTTACTACTGCCAATGCATATGGCGATACGGTGCCATGAGTATTTAAGACATACTGCTGCTGCACAAATAGCATATAAAATAACCCGTAGCAGGTGGAGCTGGGGAAGTTGGAGGGTTTCAGAGGAACTCTAAAAGTGCGCTGCAAATGCTCAAGTGGATGCTAACCAGCAAGCTCATTGGCTGCGTATGCAACATGAACCAATCAGCTTGTGCCAAGTCATTTAACGTTAATGCCCATTAGATACGTTAATTCCCGTCAGTCTGCGCCATCTAGAGTTTCATGACTGAACTATACATTTACTGTCCACCACTGTAAGAATTAAACTAGTTTTTAAGTAGTTTTGCTTGCAAGAGATGCGTAATGTTGTCTTGTGTGCATGTTCTGTGGTTTTGTGTGTAGAGTTTAGAGAAAAGGAGGTACAGCTTCAGAAATTGTAAGCAACTGTAAGCAAAAAAAAAAATGAAATAAAGAAATGGCAAAATGGCATTGCACAGACGGGGCATTTTCTTTACAAACACTGTCTCAGATGATCTAAGAGTAAGTGGACAGTGAGGAGCTCACTGGACCTCATCCACACCACAACCATCCAACATCAACATGAGAAGGAAATAACTCACACAAGAGAGAGAGAGAGAGAGAGAGAGAGAGAATACTCCTGGTATTCTCTATATGGGGACCAAATGTTCCCACAAGATAATAATACCAGTACATTTTGACCTTGTGGGGACATTTTTTGGTCCCCATGAAGAAAACAGTTTATAAGGTTAGGGTAAGGTTATAGAAAATACAGTTTGTGCAGTATAAAAACAATTACACCTATGGAATTGAACCCATAGAACATGAAAACATGAAACCTACAGTGGGTAAAAAATGTATAGCCTGAATGCACTGTAAGTCGCTTTGGATAAAAGCGTCTGCTAAATGCATAATTTATTAAATTATTACCAAAATAAACCCTCTGATCAAGTACGTGGATGTCTTTCCC